CATTTTCATACCTTTAAGTCGTTGAACTTTGGCACGCAGTCGCCCACACCGACCCCCGCGCCCAGCTACACCTGAGTTCGGCGTCTTGGTGGCTTTTTGCTGCTCGCTGTGGTCAAACTGAGGTTGCACACGTTGCCGACTCAGAAGCGTCTATTTTTAGTCTCAGTTGCGAGTGAAACGCTGGCTCTGCCCAGCTGCGATTGGTGGAACGTGTCCACTGTCTGACACTCTGTTCATCAGTCCTGGGTCATTTTGTCCTTCATGTCATATCCTGTAAAAACCTCTAAAAAAGTGTTTGTTTTTACCTAAAATGTGACTGTTTTCTGCCGTCTTTGCTGAGATCCTGAGATATTCAGAGATTAATGTGCTTCTTCCACATTGCATCATCTACCTCCACCTCTTCCTATCCCAGTACGCTCCTCTGTCCTCCTTCATCCTTGAACCTCCACTGAGCTCTTCCTCTGTTCCTCCTGCTTGGCAGCTCCACCTTCATCCTCCACCCTCCCTCCTCTGCACATGCTCAGACCTTCTCAGCCTCCCTGACTGAGCTGTCCCTGTGATGGACTCACTTCTAATCGTGTCCTCTCTCACTGAGGGTGATGATGATGAGAATTTGAGGTGTTTGTCCGCATCAGAACCAGCAGAACCACTAACTGTGTGTGTGTGTGTGTGTGTGTGTGTGTGTGTGTGTGTGTGTGTGCAGAGAACAAAGGACAGAGGAAGGTGTTTCTTCCCAACAAGCTGCTCGAGTGTCTCCCTCGCTCGTCCAGCCTGCCTAATGAGCGGCTCAGGTGGAACACTAACGAGGTGAGTTCTCGTGTGATCCTCGTTTCCTGTTCGACGCAACCGGCGGAGGCAGGAAGTGACATCACACGGAGGATATTATCATTATCACTGTTTAAAACAACACACAACAGACAGAGATAGGATCAGAGAAGCAGGTTAAGGATGAAAGCAGAATTTCAAACTTTAAAGGTAAAACTGGTGTCAGGCTCTGAGGAGGATTCGGTTTACTTGCGACTTTCCCCGCAACCCTCCCTGCCCCAGAAAGACAGTCAGAGAGGCCTCGGGCCCCCACCCACTGTGAGCGTAGGTGACTGCATCAGGTCGGACATGCACGTGAATACAATGGTAACAATAGCAGAAGGGCCGTTCTTTAAATGCGAGGCAGAAACCGTCAGTTTGAGGAACTAAAACCTGCACAGGCCTCGCTGCTCTGACTGTTTCTGCTCTGATAATCGAGCTGCTCTGATAAATATGAAACAGAAACTCAAGTAATCCTGTTATTTATTCAGTCTGCACACGCCACACTGTCTAAACCTGATGAGCCTGTCACAGTTGACAGTTCCCGCCGTCACCATCTGTGGGGTTTTCTGACTTTGAAAGGAAGATTTGGCAGTTCCAGCGTCACAGGTGTGGCTGATTGTTTTATTTTACATAATTATAACTCGGATGTTCTGGTCGTTCTAACTAACAACTAACTGCCGCTCAGTCCAATGTTTTACTGGGACATTGAAAGCCTCCTGAAGTTTTCGGGGTCACGAAACGATATGACAGAAAGTGTTTTCTTTAGCATCAGTAGAAAGCGTTTCATCCCGTATGTCGACTGTAACAGTTCACTCTGAGCTCTACGTGTGATTTTAAATCGTGTAAATCGTCTTTGTTTCTGCAGGAAATCGCTTCTTACCTGATATCCTTTGACAGACATGACGAGTGGCTCTCCTGCACCCTCAAAACCAGGTACAGACTCAGAGCACACCTGTCATACACAAACAGCTGAGGGCTTCTTTCCTGTTGGATTTTATTGATTGATTGATGGGTTTGTGTGTCAGGCCGAAGAACGGCAGCATCATCCTGTACAACAGGAAGAAGGTGAAGTACAGAAAGGACGGATACTGCTGGAAGAAAAGGAAGGATGGAAAGACGACGAGGGAAGACCACATGAAGCTGAAGGTCCAGGGCATGGAGGTCTGCAGCCCGTGCACACACACACCTGAGCACAGCTGCTCCCCCTGCAGGACGCACAGCGTCACAGCACAGCAGAAGGAATACTGTTTGTGAGATTATTGTGGGAGGAAATAAGATGCATTTGCTGCCCTGAACATTATCTCTATGAATAAAGACGAAGCTCGTGTCCACATCCTGTTTTAGATCAGTCAGTTAGTCCAGGCTGCAGCGGCGACACAGCGTCTGCTCTTATTTTGAAAGGATCGTGCTGTTCTATTAGCGAGTGTCGAGGCTGATCCCTGCTAAACTGTGCTGGTCTCTGGGTTTCAGTGCCTGTATGGTTGCTACGTCCATTCCTCCATCGTGCCAACATTCCACAGACGATGCTACTGGCTGCTGCAGGTCAGAATAAACACCCCGTCACACACACATTAACACACACCACGCTGACACTGGTTTGCAGCCAGTTTTCCAAGTGGTGTTGATTCAGCACTTACAAGGAACCGTATAGAAAGAAGTTCTCCTCAGCTTGTTTACAGGTTCCTTTTATTTACTGCAGTGTGTGAGCGACTGCAGGCTTAAACATCACTGAGATTAAATGTTGGTGTTCAGAGCTCGAGTTACTCCTGAAGTATGGTGCTGAGTTCCCTAGTTTATTGATAGATGCAGTTTATTCTTCGAGTTTAGTTCCCAAATTTATTTACTGTTTTTAATTTAAAAGTTTAGGGTTTAGTCTCAGACTGGTTCACCAGTTATGGTACTGAGTTTAGCTCAGAGTTTAGTTCCATGTTTTTCCATCGTTTTCAAATTCTAGTCTCTCCTGGGGTTTAGTTCCTTACTCAGAGTTTAGTTCCCAATCTTGTCGTTTAGCTACAAAGTTTAATCTAGTATTAGTTCCAACCTGTTACCCAACTTGTTTAGTTCCAAATTTAGTTGTAAAATTTAGTTCCCAGTGATTTAGTTCTTACCTTAAGACCATGGTTTGTAGTTCCCAAACTGAACTTTTGGTTCCCAAGTGGTTACAACTTGTTTTCCAGTTAGTTAGAAAGTTTAGTTCCCAAACTACACCTTTAGTTTCAGCGTTAAGTCGAGAGTTTGGTCCCAGACTTATTTCCATGTTTAATATTTAATTTTTAATAATTTAATAATTTAATTAAAATTTAATTTAATTAATATTAAATATTTAATATTTAAATAAATATTTAATATTGTTAATATTTAATTCCATGTTTCATGTCTAAGTTTAGTTACCTGGGATTTGGCTCTTGACTTCAGACCAGAGTTTAGTTCCCGAGTTTAGTTGCTGTATTTAGTTCCTGGTGTTAGTTTCCAAGTTTATTTGCCAGTGTTTGATCCTAGATTTATTATTTGTTTTATTATTTATTACTTGAATTGCTGAGTTTAGTCCCCAGTTTAGTTACGAGGCTGCAGGTAAGCACGAGCAGAGTGTGAGGCTCCCTAAAACTGCAGAACTAAGACATCAACTGCAGGCTATAGTAAGTGTACGCACTTGCAGTCTCAGTTACTTTCCCCTGCAGACACATGCACATACATGCAGATACAAAATAATAGAAAATGTAAACCTAAAATAGTGTTAATCAGTGTGTTTCTGTGCGACAGAACCCAGACATCGTGCTGGTCCACTACCTGAACGTGCCGTCCCTGGAGGATTCTGGGAAATGCAGTCCACTGCTTTGCGCGGTGGCCGACCGCCATGACAGCGTGCGCTGGAGCCGAGACGACCTGCTGAGCCAGCTGAGGCCCATGTGTATGCACGAACACCTGACTGCATGTGTTTGCCACATTGTGTGGATGCAGAGTGTGTGTTTTGTAGTACTAATGTGTAGTTTTACTGCGTTTCAGTCCACAGTATGAAGTGTTCAGTTGGTGCGGGAGATTTCAGTATTGAGGAGTTGGTTCAGCAAATCCTGGACCGACAAAGAACCAAACCGCAGCCGCGCACGCACGCCTGCCTGTGTAACACTGCCCAGGGTGAGCCCTGAACACCTCGACTTCACTGTGACCTCGCTATGACATCACAGAGTGAAACTAACCACCCTGTTTATCTCTGAGCACAGTATCATCCGGAGTGAACATTCCCCACCGATGTAACAGCACCAAGCATCGCATCATCTCCCCGAAACTCCCGCCCTCTTCCTGTAGGCCGTCCGCCTCGCCGGTGTCCTCTGAGCTGGGGGAGGTGGGGAGAGGAGGAGCGGGAGGAGAAGCCAAACTGCCTCACCTTCAGGCTCAGACCAGCCCGGTCTCGTCGCCCTGCCCCTCGTCCACGTGAGTCATCCGCACAGGAAAGAGAAGTTATCAATCGAACTGTGAGCGCTCCTGCTCGAGTCCTTTTGGTTTGGTGGTTCGTTTTAAGCGAGATAGCCCAAAAACGACTAAACTGAATCTTGTGCTGGAAAGTCAGAGGGTATTGATTGTGAGCTCATTTCCTGATTGATCGATTGGTCCTGTTTGTTTCCCACAGCTCCTCCTCCTCCCCGCCTCAATCCCACCGAGCCGCCGTCACCATGAGCAACAACGGTAACGGTTTCTACGGAGACCGCCACGGCAACCTGACGACGGTGGCGCTGCCACAGAACGCAGTCATTGTCATGGCGACTGCTGCCATAACAGGAGAGGGAGGAGGGGGCGGCGTGGCGAGAGCGGAGGAGGCGGGTCTGCGGAGGAGCCTGTCGTTCACCGGCTCTGGGCAGCTGCTGCTTTCCCCGGCCCTCCCTCCCCCGGGCATCAAGCCCACCTCCCCTTCCCCTCCAACTTCCTCCTCCTC